AGTGATGGGACAACCGATTGAATTTAACAACCAATTGATCAATCGGTTGTTTTTTTTGTTCAGTCGGTTTTTTCAGTTGAATGAAAAACCGAATGAAAACAGTTGCGTACATACTATTCGGACTGATGACTGTTTCCAGTCTCTTTAAACACCGAATGAAACCAGTTGAAAGCATAGTATTAGACTAAATGAATGTTTTCCAGTTCAAACTGTTTTCAACCGTATAAAATAAACTACTATTGTTCTTATGCCTTTTTCCAGTCTATGTTCAAATGATTTCAGTCTTAAAACTGAATTCAGTCGAATCAGTCGTTCAAAAATTCAACCGATTGTAAAAACTATAACCGATTGAATCCGTTTTTTACCAACAATCGATTGAATCGGTTGTTCCCATCACTAACAACAGTTGCTCTTCCATGTTGATCTCAACTGAGAAGAGGCCAACAAATAATTGCGAAGGAAGTTGGGGCAAAAAATCTTTGAGTATGGACAGAACATCAATGTACAATTTATCACTCAGATTTTTTTTTTATGCAAACAGATCGCTGTGATATGTTGTAGCAAGTACAGTAGATTAGATGGGGCTTTGGCTTTAGTCTGCCGAACCTTTGATTGCACACAATCAAAGTTTACAACAGCTAATTTTTACTCCCTAAGAACTAAAAGGGCATTTTAAAAGAGCTACTTTTCAACCTGCAAAGCATGCATTAATCTATAGGCTGTTTTCCTGCAGTATGAGGAATAAGTATATTTATTTTGCTGGTTTGTTTTGTAAAACCATAACGGTAGCAACGGGGTTTGAGGCAATTCCAATTCCTGGAATTCAACTTACAGTAGGACTAGTTAACGGATTACTCAAAACAAAGTTATAGATGCGCCGCGCTGTTTAATAAATACCTAACACGGTATTGGATGAAAAGGATGCAAACTACTAGTATTTAACTACTAGTAGTACTATCATGAGGATCTCAGACAATGTCCTACTCAAAACACAGTAGTCTGAAGTTTCACTTTATCTCCGCTAGAATGCGTGCAGTGTCATGATCGCTGAAATATTGTTTGTGCTTCGTGCTTGTACAGTACATGTAGACTTGAGACTTGTGTGCTTGTAGACCTTGCTATCTCTGGGGTGACGACTACCTAATAAAACTCGGCCGGATTCCAGGAATAAGCCTTGAAACGGTTTTATGTCTTCATCTTCTCCCATCGTGCTTCACAGTTTAGTTTCGTTCTGTATTCCAACATACGAATTATCGTTTGTTTGAGTCTTACTGTTCTTTACTCCATCGGAAAATAAAAAAGAAAAATAGAGAAACGTATAAGTTTGTTTTGTCATACCACCACAGACAATAGACCATCTCACGGTACTTTTAATTTGGATTGCCTAAACAAACACCCTATTGGTCTACGTTTCTATGTTTACTACGGATCCAGTTTCCTTAAATTTGTGCATGTCAATAAAGTTGATTTATTAGGTAATGGAATTACACCTGGAAACTTAATTTTAAACCTTTTTTGTCATAAAACCAATAATTTATTTTTAACGTGTTCTCACTTTTTGAGCTTGGTGATACACCTCTTTGAGTCGTATTTACAATGAATTCCCAATTATTACACTAAACCGCATGGATAGATGTGCAACAGTAATAATAGAGATCGATGACAACAATACATTATCAGCTGATCGGCAATGAAGTAAATAAATAATGAATACAATAATATTAGCTGGTTTTGTCATTAAATTGTGTCTCACAGTACTTTGATTTGGGTTGTGTTAAAAAATACGCAGAGGATACGCGTCCGGTAACCGGACGTGGATTAGGCGTCCGGCAATTACTGTCATAACCTAACCTAACCAACCAAACTTGCTGATAGTGAAAAAAATCAAATGAAGGTTCAATTCTCATCATAACATAAAATTATAAATGCCAAAAATTCTAACAAAATATGTACAGTTAAGAAGAAATTACATTCAAAGAAAAATCTGTGACAAAAAGTTAAAGCTACCGATAGGTTTCGAACCGGGGATCTCTCGCATGTCAGTCGAGCACTCTATCCACTACACCACGAACACTGATGGCTGAACATCGTATCATTGTGGCAATGGCGTTCCGGGACCCCCTACCGGACGCCTAATCCACGTCTGGTTACCGGACGCCTAATCCACGTCCGGTTACCGGACGCGTATCCTCTGTGTAAAACATAAAACAATCCGTATTATTAGGTTATACAGGGTTAGGTCCAAATTTACTGTAATAACAAGAAATAAGTAGTAACCGCACTTTACATTCCGGACAGAAGACAGAAACGTACCTTTAAATCGCCTAAACCAGGCTAATGATTACAGTATTTGGGTCAAAACTAAGGAATCAAATATTAAATCTATATATATAATACATGAAGCCGTTTTTTGTTAACGCAACTCCTCCCTTATTTGTGGACCAATTTCAACGTTTAAGGTGTCAAATGATTCGTCTCAATATGTAGTTTTGCAATAAGGTTTTAGAAGTTTAAAATTCCTACTCTGAAGAGCGTGAGACCCTCTCAAAGGTCGGGTTTTCCCCATAAGAAATACATAGGAGAAATTTAAAAACCAAAAACAGCTGTTTATAAAAAGAAACGCATTAGCTTTTTGGGAGTAAATATTAATGTTTGTAATATTCAGTAGGTTAAGACCAAGTTAAACCGGTAATCAGTTTTGTAGGAAGAACAGAAAATGCCTCAAGTTCAAAGAAGAAATATTGAAAACGTGAGTAGGAGACAATTAATAGTAAGATATCTTATGCGTATGAGGAGAGTAGAAATAGAGAGGCCTCTAACAGACAACCATCCAGATACACATTCACTTGGTGATATGTATAATATTTGCCAGTTCTGCTATACATCGATGGTTCTGCTCAGCAACTCACTTTAGAAGTGAAAAAATGTACGAAGCACATAGTGTTGTCACGGTGGTAAAGTAAACTTGCCTAATGTCAGATCAAATGAATGCATGCAAGAAACGTTTACTTCTGACAATGACAAAACAAGATATTTCAAAACATTTAGTATAAACTATATTTAATGCCTTGACTATGATTAGTTCAAGTAGTAAGATTTTACCAAATCTTGGCGGACCTTATATCTTTATTGTAAACTTTTGTATTACTCGCTCTACTTCAATTGAGAAAAAACACAAATGGATTTTTTACTTCTAGGTTATGTTTCCAATTCCTAGGGAAAACTTATACAAGGTCTATTGAATGAATTTACCAACACAATCCAGACATTTCAAGTCAAAAATAAGAAGTTTCAACAACTCATTTGCTGTTGAAAGTTTTAGTGGCAATATTAGACCAAACATAAGGGAAGGAATTAGTGTTTAAGTATTCAACGATCAAGTTGTTACGGTCAAGTTTATTTTTATGTTTTAGGAAAGGCAAATAATATACGCTGTTCAAAAAGAGAATACGAAAATTGCTATCCAAATCGTATAGCTACAAGAGTTGTCCAACCTATTTCGACAAATGAATCCATACTTTCAAAACGTTGGGACAGGTATTTAGAGAAACTCCACTGAAAAACGTGAGACTGACAGACAACACGTTAAAATATGTTAACCAACTTTCAATGGTGTTGCTGCTTTAGCTAATTCAAAGCAGATTATGACAGTTAAGTTGGCGAAAAATGGACCACATGAAATGGTTGATATCACCTAACTTTTCAGGGTTCTCCACGAAGAAAATTTGCTTGATTAGGGGGATGTCTCAAAGAAATAAAATGACCCAACTTAAATTACTAAACACAGGTTATCAGTAGGCCTGAGGCAACAGTTTTCTTCAATTCCCAATTCTTGAAAAACTAAGTTGCAACATGTTAACTCGAATTAAAGCAGATCGTTTAGCATTCATTAGAAGTTATCAATTAAAACTGAGAGCAGAAATAATGTAGGTGAACCTTGACGACGCAAACAGAGATATTTAAAATTAGTTTCTAACAAGTGTTTAAACGACTCTAAGATGTAGCTACAATTACTCGAATTTAAGCATAAAGTTTTCATCGGCGTTATGTTTCATACTATGCGGCTCATTGAGCCGCACGGGTTCTCTAGTAGTATAATAATACACTTCGGCACTGAGAATGAGTACTAGGAGAAATAGTTATAGTGGAACATTTAGATTATTTGTTAAAAAGGAGCTCTTTACTTTAACGGTACAGTGTTAGCCCGGAAAGTTATCACGAAATTGATGGTGTATAAACCTACTCCATGAAATTCTACACGAATGTATGTTTCGTGGCTATCGGTCCAGCGGTGTCTGTGTTTATCACTGCCAAACAAAAATACAAACAAACCAACATCCTCTATTTTATTAGATTTAACATGATAGTTGGTATAATTTGTTTTGTAAGACGCTAGGCACGGCCCGGGATTGTTTTTCACATTACTTCAGGCTAGACCTAGGGGTTGCACCATTAACACTTAGATAAAACTCATAGATGATATGGCGGAATTTGAACCCGTGACCTCAGGGACTGAAGTCCAGCGATCTAACCACTAGCTCCCCTGTACATAGACTTAATTACACAAACCTTATTAAGTAATAATAATTAATAAAGCATACAATTTTAAAGTATCAATAAACTAAAAAAATTTTGACAAGAGAAAATGTAAACATAAAAATTGTAAAATACATAGATAGTAATAAATCAGGCCCGTAAGCTCGTAATCAAATAAATAATGGATGATTAAACTAAGGGATAGCCATATTGTGTGTTTAACTGTGACACGGTATTTACCTTTAAAATACCTTAGTAATTTTGAGTTAAAGAAACTAAAATGAATTTTTGTTTTGACGAAACTATTTAGATATCTTTTATATTTCATAATTTCAGCTTTTATTTTTACCGGTTAGATATTTCGTGTTGTGAGGTTGGTAGTTTGGACTGTAGGCGGCTCGGCGCTCTCTCTTCTGGCCGCTCGCTCGCTCAGCTCAGTTCTCGTCCTTTCCTCGTCCACACAGTGTCAGTTTTATTTAGTTGAGTTCGGAGCGTCTCAGAGTAAAGATATTGTTTATTGTGTTCGGTTGTGTTTGTGTTTTTGTCATCACCAAGTGTTACTCGTGTTGTGTACTGTGACATAAGTGTTTCTGTGTATGGATTGCCTCATTGTTGGAATTTCAGTCACACCGAACGTTAAAGTCATTGGATTCTCTTCTAAGTTGCTACTATGTAGAGCTGGTAAGTTTGTCATGTGTTTGTTTCTTTAGTAATGTTTAGCATATTTTTATTCACAATTGAATGTCTGATAAGTTTAAAGTTATTCACAACAAAGACGTACTAGAATCCCAGTTAACTCAGAATAACTTGTAACTGAATTTTTATTTTATAAAACATACAGTATGTTACGCATTTAGTGATAAAGCTGAGGGGGAAAACATCCAGACAAATCTTGTTATTGTTTTTTTATTGTTATTGCTATTTTATTGTTCATAAATATTGTTATTGCTATTTTCAAAACATAAACACATTCACGCCAATCTGATTGTTATTTTTGTGGTACCAAAACATTCTTTATTTTTATCGTCTTTACAGGTTGGAGTTCATAATATTATGTATAATCAATTTCAATTAAGCTAAACACACTCCCGCATATTATGTTCATCATTTTATAGATCTATATATTATGCATGACAATTTTAAAGTACTTTTTTGTCTGATAAAGCCTGAGTTTGTTAATGCACTCACTTTAGTTACAAGTTATTTTACTAACTTTAAAATAATTAGACCAAATTCAAATATGCAAACTATTTTAAACCTACTGTTTCTCCTTTCGTATTGTTATGTTATACTGTTTACAAAAAGCAAAGAGCGCACTGTAAAATTCACGCTAAAAAAGACATAAAATGTAATGTACATTGCTCACTAAAAACAGACTTTACATTAAAATGATATGTATACATTGTAATTTTGTCCACGTTATTTGTGCTTTTGTTGTAACATTCTACAATAAAGTATTATTCAAATGAATTGAATGAAATACAATAGTAATAGTATGCATAAAATAAAGAAAAAGGTCGTGCAGGAACTGTGGATAATCAATTATAAATCTCATTAAATTTCCTTAAATTTAAATGTCATTAAATTTTTTAATAGGTAGCAGAGTTTGATTGTATTCATTGGTTGTTTGATAGTATTAGCCTACGATTGAATTTTGGATCCACAATCTAAGATATTACTATTCTGTAATATATTTTCTCCACTCCACCGACGGTCTATTTTTATTTTCTCTAATTACCTATTCATCTTAGAATCTCGACCGCAAGCCTCCCTTCAGCAACAGTGACAATAAAAATCTTGCAATATATGAATACTGCCTTCAGAATCGCCTGCTTGTTTTAAAACTTTAATTGAGTGTTGAGCAAGGCAGTGTCCGGATTCGTCGATAAGGTTGGGTTAATGCACACAGGACATTAACGCACAGGACAAGTTCCTCCAACCTTGGATGTATCCTTTCCAATGACTTCGGCATCTTCGCGAATTGAGCAACACCAACAATTAAAATGATAGTAATGATCACCTGTGTCAGATTGGACTCACCTTGAAATATTCTAAAACTCTAGAACGTGCAGTACCTTTATGCTAATTATCAAAGTTACTTATAAAATTACACAACAATTATTACCATTAATGGTCCCCTCTGGACTTCCGATGCCCGTTCTGATATCAGTTACAGTATATGCGTAGTGTGTCTTATATTGAGGATTTCATCATGGGAACAATTGGAATGATTCGTACTACCAATCAACAATAACAAAAAATAAATTAGTCTAACATAATTCGGAACACACTGTAGACAGGAAACGAATGGCGCGCAGGTGTGTAACAAATGGTGCGTATCCGTGCAACGAGCACATCTTGTATTAAATGTTGTGGCGAGAGAAAGCTCCCGTAATATAAATTTGATAACAAATGGACACCTAGAGTGTCTGTTAAAAATGGTATTTCAATGCAAATTGTAATTGTAAGACTTATGTGAATCAATACAGTTTATCAATATCAATAGGACCTACTGTTGTATTATAGTGTCCTTAAACGCAACTAAAAATGGTAAAAACTATAGGCTACGTTAAAATGTCATCAATTATAAGGCGTTGTATTATTTATCTGGTTAGTTCATAGTCATAGAGTAGGATCTGGATAGGTGTATTGCAATACTCTAGTCACAGAGAAGTAATTTTTATATCTCTAGCTCTAGTTTAGTTAATGTACATTGCTATTTCTCAGCCTTGCCAACACTAGATAGGCAATATGAATGTAACGTCCATTTTGCCAATCGTTCCCCGCAGGCTCTCGCACTAGAATCGAGTCATGTAAGCTAATTTGTTCGATTCAATATGTATGATTCTCTCGATTAAATTTGAACTATTTTTTAAAATCATTAAAATAGTCAATTTCATCACAATTACATTTTAGTGAGTTGATTTATAATTTTATCAACAGTTATCATTTTGCACGGTTTAAAGTTACGGTACAAACGAACTATATATAGTCAAGTAGTTTTTTTTTTATATTGGCAGTTGTTTCTAATGGGTTTACTCCTTGTACTTTTGTTTCGAGTTACTCATTTAGTAATCGACTATCTTTTTTACTTGGGTAACAATATATTTTCCACCATTTGATTAAATGCAAGTAAAATACATTTTACATTCAAAAATACATATTTTCCTTGTCCAAATAGGTACTGCAATACATTATCGACTTTTTATGCTGCAAGAAGACTTATTTTTTATAATTCTGCTAACCTATTTTTTCTATATCTACGCCAGTGGACATTTACTAAAGTTTGTTTTTTTTTTGTTCCATGACCGGTAATGATGTATGCGTTGACTAAATATTACTCTACTATTTAGGACACATTGTACTATGTGTGCTTTACCCTTTAAATACTATATGACAAGCAGCATCTTACAACAACTCGTTGTATTTGGTAGTAACAGTTTTGAAGTTGATAAAATATCAAGAAATAAAAATTCAACCTCTACAGTCGTTTTCTACATACTGGACAAAAACATACCTTTAAACTGTTTCCAGTTAACCCATTTAGCTAATATACCTATAGGAGTACGTCTAAGCTAAGCCAAAGACAAAATGCAAGTCAAATACAGGATCTGATCCATTTACAAACAGTGACCTATTCAATAGAATTACATGTATTTAAGCACGATGGTCTCACCACAATCCCAATAATACAAAGGTACAAAAAGTCACAAAACAGTGCCTGAAGAGAAAAAACACCTGATAAACAGAAAACAGTACTTTACGTCTTATCATACGCCCCTCATTGATGTTGTGTCGTAGTTGTGTTGTAGACAGTTGTTGTGGTGGTAGACCTGCTGTAGCGAGGAAGGGGGGGGGGTTGAAGGGGGGCTAATGAATGTGTTGTCCCTCAGATTTATTGACGCCTACATTGACAGATTTACAAGTCTCGACACTGGACGAGTTGTATAGGACTCGCGACTACAACACAACACGCTGTGACGACGGACCTTACTGGGAATAGCCAAACGGCCAAACTCGCCAAAGAGTCACGAGGTTTTTAGGGTTTATAGTTTTTAGCCATGTTTACGCTAGTGCTAGATAGAACAAAGCACACGAAAGAGGTACGATAAAATTTGATGCAAGCTGCCGAATCTCCTCTAGTAGGAGCTAAAACATTTTGCCTATCGTTCAACATTTAAAATCTATCAAGAACGTATAACAATTAGGCTAATGGAAAATCGATCCGATAACAAAACGCAAAAGCCACCCAAGAGTTAATTGGTTTGAGGTACAAAAGAAATCCCTTTAAGCTGCACCATCATTACTAACAAAAATAACAATTCTTGTTTTCTAAAAAAACTCCAACAAAATCATTCTGCACCGATATCCTTGGATATTCGCGCCTCAGCAGCCACGGAGCGGAGACTGCGGGCGCGGCCAGCATAACCATTGTCCGATAAATATCCCTGGATTATAGATTAAACCGGGATTCAATAAAGCGAGACCGGTCGAGGTAATATTGTTGTTGGAAGAGATAGGTTGGCAATAGTGAGGATTCCGGTTGGCGGCGTGGCCAGCATTGTAATGCGGGTAGGCTAGGCGTGCCAGCCATGCCTGCCTCAGCACTGCATAGTCTGTCTGCCTGCCTCAGTATAGCATAATCTGCCTGCCTGCCTTGCCTACCATCACAGCGCCGGACACTAGCCGCAGGAATGTTGTTAAACGCCTGAACGTCTTCATGTGTAACGAGAAAAACAAGGTTGATAGAGTTGGAGAAAAATAAACAGCTTCTGTGGTAGTGGTAGGACTGCTCTGGATGATATATGGGATAACTATCGGACTTGGATACTGTCTGGTTCCCTGATGGCTTTGAAGTTTCTCCGCTAACAAAATTGAAGTTGTACGTTTCAGGGTTTCAGCCCACAGCGTTATGCCAAAGGGAATGGATGTCACTTTATTTGTGAATGGCAGTGATCGGATACCTAAGCCTCACCACTATACTTATTTAAATGACGATCCAGCTAGGGCTTGGCGTATCTTGGTATAAATAAAATATGAGTTTGGTACGAGTGAGAAGTCACCATCTAGATCCTTATTTACGATAGTTGATTTAAAGCACTATGATCAAGAATGGTCGGGGTATTTATTGATAAAATATTTATAACATTTTACACAAGTTTTACCGGTCTGCAACCGTCATAGCCACAGTCACTGTCCTATACTTCGTCTTTCGAGATATAAACCGTCCAACCAACCAAGTAAATTCCTCGGTAAAGACACCAAATGCCATATCAGGGTGTTGTCCTACAACAGTAGCCAAATAAAAATCTGGCTACTAATGTTGTTCCTATTGTACTACGACCAAGGAAAGGTTTTGCCTGGGATTGGGCACCTAGATTTTGTACATAGCACTAAGGAAGTGCAAAAGAAAACTCAAATAATTCAAACTTTTCTCAATACTGTACCTAACAACACGTAACATGGACGAAAAGTCTGGTGGACGAAAAACACGAAACTGCAACCGTAAGCAGGCGGGCTAGAGTAATTTGTGAAATGACTGAACTCTTGTGTATTTTGTCAGGAAATGGAAGTTTAAAAAGGAAACGAAGAAGGTTGTTTTGGGAGAACAGTTGTTTTGTGTCCCCTTTTCTGCCAAACAGGGTCCATTGTGACCAATTGTAAATCCTGGACCACACAGA